CCAGGTGGCATCCCTGACTGTTCTCCCCAAGCCTGCTAGGGAGTGAGGATAGGTGCTCCTAACAGATCTCTATCCTGCTTAATGGAGCTTGTTTGCAGCCCTGGGGATTTTGCAGGCTGGAAAATCCCCTCAGAAAAAGTTGGAGAAAGTTTCTCCTTTTCCATATACGGTCCGGGCTGGCTCTCGAGGGCGACCCCGCCATGCCATCTGCACAGCCTGGTATGCCAGCTATGTTACAGTTGGGAGGATTTGGAGAGGTTTAAATCTCTGCAGTTGCACAGCTGATCAGATTTTTAAAAAGGCAAAAAACAACTACCCTACCTCACCCTCAGTGAAGAGAGGAAGTACAGAGGCTGGTCAAGAAGAGCAGAGCAGGGTTAACTGCCCGCAGCTGTTCCAGCCCATTAATCCCGCAGTATTTGCAGGCTGTTTGCAGCCTGTTTCATGCAGCAGTTGTGTGCACAGAAGACGCACCCCTAACACTCAGGGCAGCACACCCTAACACTCAGGCCCAGGAGAGGTGTTAAAGTGGGGAGGGAGAAGCCAGCAAGGGCATTAAGTAGCTCTCCAAGGAAATCCAAGCTCCTTGCATTTCAGACACCCAAACCCCCCTACAAGGAGACTCCTGCCGCAGAATGAGGGTGGCACAAGTCACAAGAACGTTCCCACTCAGTGCAATGGGCTGAAACTACCCCAGCTCAAAGTGTCAGGGGTTCTGGGAAGAGCAGCTTTCCAGAGTCCTGGCCCTTGACACTTCCAGGTGCGATTGGGGGAGGTTAGAGAGCAGAACGTAGCTCTTTCCTCAGCCTTCTGAGCCCCAAATCTCGCAGTTGCCCCTGGATATCAGGCAGTGCTAGAACTGACCCCAATCTCTCTAGTCTCCACATCTCCCAGCCCTGTAAGCTGCCCTGCTATCTCACTCTTAAATCACCCCCACATCAGACACTGTGTCTACCTCTCCTCTGCCAGGTGCTCTCTTATTCAGGCCTCTCACTGGTTCAAGTCCTCTCCAATCCCCTCCTCTGTGGTCTCCAGAGGTCCCAACTCTACAGGGACCAGTCAGTCCAAGAGATCCTGGCTGCTCTCATCCATACCCAGAAGAGAAACCCACCAAGTGCAATACATTGGCACACAGTGAGGGCAAGAGATTGGGATTGGGGCACCTCAGTTCTACTCCAGGTTATGCCACAGGCTTGCTCTGTGACCTTGGGCAAGTCATTTCCCCTCTGCACCTCAGTTTCTCCACCTGTAATATGGAGATGACACTCCCCATCCCCATGGGGGTTGGGAAGGTTCATCAGCCTTTTCAAGAGATGCTCAGATGGAAGGTGCTGGCCTGGATGAGCTCCAGATGTTGTCACCCTCCTCCCTGAAGCCTTCACTGGCTTTTGTCCATCTCAGAATCCATTATATGCCCCCACAGCCTTTGAGACCCTTCATGGACGTGCCCCTTCACCCCACACCCTCTTCTCTTTCTAGCCTCCAGCCCACTCGTTATGGGCCTCCTGACAGGTGGAACAGCAGGAAGTCTGGTAAAGTGCCAAAGCCACCCAGAATTAACCCAGCCAGCTTCCTATCGCCAGCACTTACCATCCCAACTCCCCTTCCTCCATGAAGCACCTCCCCTGAGAGATTAAGGCACTTACTGTCGATGGCATGGGCACGGAAGACAGGAGAGAGGTGGGGGGGGAAGATGGACCCATCTTGTATCCTAGTCTCTGGGACAGGAGAAGGTTTCCCCCTCCAGCCCAGGGGCCTCCTCTGTACTGCACCAGGGAAAGGGACCTCATCCAGCCCTGGTACCAAGGGCATTTACCCTAACGGTCCCTTGAACCCTCTAATCCTTGATTTGCTGTTCCTCCCTCCAGCCCCCTGCCAAGGTCTGCAGGACGTCCGGAGGCCCCACCACCGAGCTAACCCACTGGCTACACAGAGCATGGAGAAAAGACCCAAGTCAGCATTCACAAGAGGCAGAAACTGTGCACTCCTGGGAGAGGAAATCAGAACAGCTCGGTATAGGCTGGGGTGAAAGTTGAAAGCCCTTCCCAAGAACAATAGCTCCTATTCTTCCCAGGGCGCGCTCTTGCAGGGACCGTTATGGCAGCTGGCCACAAAGCATCCACTGGCACACAACAGTCCCTGGCAGAGGCCCAGCCCTTATCCACACACACGATTTCAGTCCTCACCTTGTAGTGAGGAAGGGGAAGAGCCCGCTAGCTCGGGGGTTGCTGTCAAGAGACAGCCCCTGTGTAGATCCAGCTTTGCTGTCCTGCAGTCTCCTGCCCTAACCTCCTGCAGCGGAAGTGCTCCTCCAAGGGCCACTGGCTGTGGAGAAAACAGGCCTAAGTTTCAGGGTAGAGTGCAATGGGGCCTCTCTCAAAGTGCCCGCCTGGCACCAGCCATGTGCCCAGCACAGGTTAGATCAGGCCAGAAGAGTGTGCAGGGAGCCCACTGAAGGAGAGGAAAAGGCACCCACCTCCACCCCATTCCTCCCACTGAATGTACCTCTGATCTCTCAGCTGTCGGAGACCGGCCCCCTGAAGGCATTCCTCTGCCTCAGCACCACCTGCTCAGGGACCACAGGGCCCGAGGGGACACAACGCTAGACTCACGGCCAGTGGCTGTGGACATAATACAGATTCCCTATTCCTCACCTTGCCGTCCTGTCCCAGCCACCCATTCCTGCCCCACACCAGACCAATCTCCACCCCAGGCTCAGGCCAACTCCATTCCTTCCTGGCTGCCACACCCCTGCCCTCTTCTCAGGCCAGCCACACTCCCTGAACAGCACCACTGTGGTTTATGGGGAAGCATTACTGCATACCTCAGGGTTTGCTGCTGCCCCTGTTGAAGCCACAGCAGCACTGAGGTCTGTGGGGAAGAGGGCCGTTTACACTTGTTTTATCTTCACGGGCCCCTCTGCTCCGGTCCTGGTTCAGTCTGGTTGGATTATTCAAACATAACCTCAGATCTGAGCTATGCAACTAGGACAGGAGTGGGAAGCTGCTGGGAAGGGACCAGGATTTAATCCACCAACCCAAGAGCGAGGACAGGCCTGGCTGCTCATTCCCACCATCCTGCCAAATGGTCCCATGATGTATGAACCTTGCCCAGCCTGCAGAGCACACCCAGGGCTCTGTGAGGCTCAAAGGGGCAGCTCTGTTTTGTTGGGCCCTCTGCCAGCGAACACCCATACGGCTCTATCCAGCTACCTCTCCGCTTTGGACACCTCCCCATCCCACCCTATGGCAGGCTGGGGAGACACCCTCCTTCACCTGTCCACAAGTTTCCATAGTCTCTGAAGATCCCTACGTGCGCTGGGAAATGGAACTGAAGCACTCAGAAGGACAGCTGGGCACCTCACTCACTACCATGGCCCCCTAATACCAGAGTCACAGAGCCAGCCCGTGGGGATGGGGCTCTCCTTGCTGGGGCAGGACTGGGTCCCTCGAGCCATGAGAGTAGGTCAGCAGGTCTATTCCCATTTGGGGCTGGGGGAAGCAAGCCAGACACCAGACACGAGGCAGTTACACGAAGAACCCAGTGTGAATTAAGACTAACTAGGGCCTGGCCCCACAGACACTTTGGTCTTTCCACATACCCCACCTCAAACAGTGCCCCTTCATAGACCCCTCCTGCCAGCCAACACTCCAACTCGGATCTCCATCCAGCCCCCCTCATATGGATTCTTCCCCCGCAGCCTCCTTCCCCTGCAAACACCTTCGTCTTCCCCTCCCAGCTCTCTACACAGACCCTTAGTTCACGCCGACTTCTCGTCGCTTTTGGGCTTCGAGCTGAAGGATTCAGCTTTAACTGGCTCCTAACCATTTCAATCTGCTCCACAAGGGAGACGAAACAGGGCACAAGCCAAGGGATCAGCTGCCATTTACACTGGGAGACACCCAGGCTTTGTCTGCAGACAGCTCTCCCCACCGGGCACAGGCGGTGGTCTCACTTGCAGCCCAGTTTAGGAGCTGGAGGGCTTTAGTGACACGCTTGGAAAGGTGTTTTGTTTTTTGGGGTTTTTCTTTTTGGGGGGGGAGGAGAACTGAGCTAGATCTAGGACCTTCACTACACAAGGCCACTGACCATGGTCACTCCTGCTAACAAAAGGTGTCTTAAGAAACGGTGCATGTTTGATTGTTGTGTCAAGCTGAGAATCTGATGGGGGAGGGGGAAAGGGGGATTTCAAAACTTTTCAGTGAAGAAACACAAATCATTCATCCTTACCCCTAACACGCTGGCCCCCACCTAGCACGGCTCACTGGATGAGCTCAAGGCTGGAGGGAGGCACATTAGAATTGCTTTAGAAGGAGGCTCTTCAGCAGATTTTACTAGCGAGCGGGGTAACTGAGGTAGGGGAGTGTGTCCCTGTGGGTAGAGTCCTGAACTGAAGTTCAGGCTTTCCCATCCCAACTTTGGCAAGTGACATCATTGGTCCGTGCCTCAGTTTCCCCAGAGGTCAGCTGTGGCTAGCTAGGCCCTGCCTGGCAGGGGGTGGCGCAAGCACCTAGACACACCTATGCCCCCAAAACACACCCACGCCAGAAGCCAAGATTTGGCCCCTTTCTCCAGTTCACACGTGGGAGACCTGGGCTGGACGCAGGTTGAGCCGCGTGCGACGTGTGTCAGAAATCGCAGGGCAGCAGGAACTTCTGGCTCCCGCCAGCCACGTGGAGCTGCGGGGCGGCCTGTCCCGGCCACAGCTGGGGGGAGCCGGAGCAGAGGCGGCTGGGACCGCAACCCCCCGGCCCCCTTCCTAGCAGCCGCAGGTAGGAGCCAACGGCTCAGACCCTGGCAAACCAGCACCCACAGGGGAGGACCCCCCCCCCAGAGCAGCTCGCCTTCCCAAAGCCCCTTCGCAATCCAGCTCCCCAGCCCGAGGGGCGCCGGATGGACGCTCTGGCCAGGTCCCCCCCCGCCCCGTGCACCCAGCTTCTCCAGCGCGCCCGGCTCCGTCCTGGCCGGCGCCCCCCGCCCCACGCCGGCTCGCCTCCTACCTTGTTGATCTCCTCCAGCCGCCCCTCCTGCTGCGCTCTCCGCTGCCCGTAGGCTTTGCCTCCTGCGCCGGGAAGAGAGGGGCATTAGCGGGGTGGGGCGGGGGCCGGGCAGCGGGCAGCGCAGCGGGCAGCGCAGGGGGCTGCGCGGGCTCGGGGCGCGCTTACCTTGGAAGCGGCTGTTGAGGGTCACGGCCATGCTGAGCTGCCCCGCGCCCTCCCGCCGGCCGGGCTGGCTGCACTGCGGAGCGGGACGAGCTGCGAGCCGGGAGCGGAAGGGCAGCCCAGCCCCTCTTGAGCGCAGCCATTCACCAAGCGGGGCCCTGGTGACTCAGCGGCCCCTCTGCTGGAAGAGGCAAAAGCATGCACCGGCCAGGCACTGCCCGCTGCCGGAGCCAGGCAGGGGTTAACCCTTCCCTTGCCTCCCTCCCCCGCCCCTCCTCCTGGAGTCGGTTCTGCAGAGCGCCCACAGCGGGCACTTGGAAGGGGCTAGGGCTCCAGAGAGCGTTTCTAGCCAGCCCAAGGCTCGGGCCCTGCCAGCCGCCGGCTTTTCAGGAACCGCTGCAGACGGCTGGTTGGGCCTGGACTGAAGCAGCAAACTGACAAGGTCTCGCAAACCGCTTTGCTGCAGGGGCTAATAACGCTGGCCTCCCCATCAGCCCAGCGAAAACTGAGGTTATGCACCAGCCAGCGCCTCACCTAGGCCCCTCCATAAGCTTTGGAAGACACCAGGATCATAGAATATCAGGGTTGGAAGGGACCTCAGGTGGTCATTTAGTCCAACCCCCTGCTCAAAGCAGGACCAATCCCCAACTAAATCATCCCAGCCAGGGCTTTGTCAAGCCTGACCTTAAAAACTTCTAAGGAAGGAGATTCTAGCACCTCCCTAGGTAACGCATTCCAGTGTTTCACCACTCTCCTAGTGAAAACGTTTTTCCTAATATCCAATCTAAACCTCCCCCACTGCAACTTGAGACCATTACTCCTTGTCCTGTCATCCGCTACCACTGAGAATAGTCTAGATCCATCCTCTTTGGAACCCCCTTTCAGGTAGTTGAAAGCAACTATTAAATCCCCCCACATTCTTCTCTTCCGCAGATTAAACAATCCCAGTTCCCTCAGCCTCTCCTCATAAGTCATGTGTTCCAGACCCCTAATCATTTTTGTTGCCCTCCGCTGGACTCTTTCCAATTTTTCCACATCCTTCTTGTAGTGTGGGGCCCAAAACTGGACACAGTACTCCAGATGAGGCCTCACCAATGTCGAATAGAGGGGAACGATCACGTCCCTCGATCTGCTGGCAATGCCCCTACATATACATCCCAAAATGCCATTGGCCTTCTTGGCAACAAGGGCACACTGTTGACTCATATCCAGCTTCTCGTCCACTGTAACCCCTTGGTCCTTTTCTGCAGAGCTGCTGCCGAGCCATTCGGTCCCTAGTCTGTAGCGGTGCATGGGATTCTTCCGTCCTAAGTGCAGGTCTCTGCACTTGTCCTTGTTGAACCTCATCAGATTTCTTTTGGCCCAATCCTCTAATTTGTCTAGGGCCCTCCGTATCCTATCCCTACCCTCCAGCGTATCTACCTCTCCTCCCATTTTAGTGTGGCTCCAAGCCACACACTGACCTGTATTGGCTGCATGTTGACTAAGGAAGCCACAGCTGACCACGAAAGGGATCTGTGAATTAAGAAAGCCAGCACCACATATGGTCGCCTCCACGACTGGATCTGGAAGCAACATGGACTCTGTCTACAACAAAATTCACAGTCTATAATGCTGTGGTCCTGCAGGTACGAAACATGAGCCTGTTATCAATGGCATATTAGAAAGCTTGACCGTTTCCATTTGCTGTGATGGTTGGTGGTGTTCCCTAAGGGTGAGTGCCCACAACTTAGAGAAGAATCGCATCGAACAGCTGGAAGCCCGGCGCCAGGCATGGCAACAAGGTGCAATTCAAGCATCACAACTAGGCAAATGGCTCCAACATGGCCAGTGTGCGGAACGTTGTTCTTCTCAAATTGGGTTCCAGAGTCACGCAAAGACCAACTGGTACGAACTGTGATTGTCTGCGGTGGTCTTGAAGTCGAGGCGGTGAGCGTCCCGCTGCTCCCGGAGCACGAGGCTATGTCTTCTGTCCCTCAGCTCTTTCTCGGTCAGCCCCTGGGCTCCCTCATGGCAGTTCAGCAAGCCCCTATTACCTGTGCTCTGCTCAGAGCTGTGCTTCTCAGGAGCACCAACAGCTTGGCCAGCACAATATGTGTCCCCAAAGAACAGCCAGAGTAGTAGGGTCTGAGCCCTAGAGGATTCAACCCCCCCGAGCTCCGAATGCAGGGACTTCTCATCCGGATTTATTTTCATCCAGTGAAAACAAATTATTCTCATGAGGACAAGAGGCTGGTGGCCCAGAGTGCTGGAATCCAGAGCAGTTTGGTCACTGGTGAGATGAGTTTGGGGAGCTCAGCCTGCTCCCTTGTGGTCCTTTGTCCATATCACAAAAAACAACAAACTGGTACAATTGCAAGATTCTTCCTCACTTGCTCAGAACTGATACAAAAGGAGGAGACAAGGGTCAAGCTGTGCAGGAGCCAGGAGTGGGGTATCAGGGACTGCTGCAGATGGCCATCAGTACAGCTAGGAGAGGAGGGCAGAACTGGGATAGCAGGGGGTGCAGTGGTAAGGATTGAGGTGCATCAGCAAAGCTGGGGAAAGATAGTGGGGTCGGGAGGATCTTGCCCAGCGCCTTCCTGCAGGTTAGTCCGCCATGCTGGATTCCAGCCCATTTCACTCTCCCATTTTCATAACCACTAGATCCCCACTAATAACAATACTGTTTATTTTAATTAAAGAAAATAAACGAAACAATCAGAGTTTGGGCGAGTCCCTTGGAATGGCTGCTGCCTGGAGAAGCCAAGTCTGAGTCACCAGCTGGAAGCCCAAAAACAACAGGAGAGGTGTCCTGTTTTTGGATTTAAAGTCCAGGGACAAGGGGCTGAGGGCCGCACCTCCACCCTGCACGTACTTTCAGTTATTCTAGCATCTGCTCCCTCTCCTGGTCTGGTCTTTGCATCTTCCTCCACGCTGCCCCCTTGACGTCAGCATCCGACTCACCCCTCTCAGACGGCTCCTTGAAACACCCAGCTTCCAGCAAGCCTTTCAGAACGGACCTCTGCAAGATACTGGCACCTGTTCATTCCGCCACACCAGGAAGTAAAGGCCCTGCACACAGAGGGCCTTGCATCTTATGAGAGTAGGTAAGTAGATCTTATCTATCCAAGGTGCTTATGTGACCCTCGCTCACGGTAGTATCTGAGCACCTCCCAACACCCCGTGATGTTGGGCATCCCCATTTAGAGATGCAGAACTGAGGCAGAGAGAGATTAAAGCCCAGATCCTGATTTTAGTGGAGGTCAAGAGTCTAAATACCTTTGAAGATCTGGGACTAAGTGACTTTCCCAAGACCCCCACCAGAAATCTGTGCCAGCGGCAGGTATTGAACTCAGGCCTCCCAAGTCCCAGACTAGGGCTCTCACCCCGTTCCCTCCCATTCCATTCCATAGGTGCTCAGGATTAGCTAATGCTGTCTTTGCCCACGAACAGAGCTGTGCCCCACGCATGGATCAAACTGACTGGAACCGACTAGGTTTTAACAGCAGGCTGAAAGCATTGGGAAGGGAAAAGCCTCCCTCTAGTGTCCGCAGTGTGGGTGTGATGCTGCGTCCAGCCAATGCAGGCTAGAGAGAGGAGTTTGTATGGGGGAGCCAGGCACCTCGGGATCGCAAGGAATGCTGGGCCAAGTCTGGGCAGTAGCATGAGGAGCTTCAGGGACTGGGGTTGCATGGTCCCCGAGCAGATCCTTAATATGCCCTGTTGCACCCTGCAGTGTGTCGTGGATCACTGGGGTGTGTGTGGAGTGTTCAGGGCTGCTAGGAGAGGTGCAGGAGCAAACAGGTTTCAGAGTAGCAGCCGTGTTAGTCTGTATCCACAAGTACTCCTCTTCTTTATACAAGCAAACAGTGTTACTGGTACCTGCCCAGGAGAGACACAGGGACCCATCCCCTTTGTGGGACTGAGCATTTGGGTCTTGGAACATTTGACAGCGACCCACAGAGCTGCTAGCCTGCATCCCTCCAACCTTGACTCTCTCCAGTCTGGCTTCCTCCTGCTCCGCTTCACTCATGCTGCTCTCGCTAAACCTCCCTCCTGGCCCTGTTCCATCCTCATCCTCACAGACCTCTGCTGTTCAGACCCTCCCTGCTGAAAATGTGCCCCTCCCTTGACTTGTATGGCTCCATCCTCTCCTGCTAATTCCTTTGGCATCTCATCCGGTGGGTCCCCGTCCTCCCCTCTTCAGGAACAGCCCCCACAAGGCTCCGGCCTTGGCCCTCTGTTTTGCTCATGTGATGGCTTTTTTTATGAACAATCTCCACTCCCACAGCTTCAGTGCCCATCTTTAACTCACAGATTCACCTCTCCCCCCGACCTCCTGCTCCCCACAACCCCACATCTTGGCCAGTGGGCCTCTTTTGGATGGACTTGTCATCAATTGGTGCTGTGTTACCTTCAAACATCCCGCCCCCTGCCCATCTCTGTCACTCAACACATCACCCTCCTCCCGGTCCCTTGCCCACCCTGCCCTTCACACTAACAGTTTGGGCCTTCTGTTCTCCCAACAGGCTTGGGTATGTGTCCAGGACACACATGTGTTATCACTTCCTGCAAACTGCACCAGCCTTCTGCGGGTTACATTTGCTCCATTCCTAGGAAGTATCAGCAGGAGGAACTGGGATTTGCATGACTCCTTTTTCTAAAGCTAAGGGGAGAGCTGCTGGGGTGCTCTGCAGCTGATAGCAGTGTCTTTAGGAACATAGGAGGGGGTTTGTTCCTTTCTACACCTCCACTGGGGACTGGCTATACAGCCCTAGCCTTGTTAGTGCACTACACGCACACAGAACCAGGAACGGTGCAAAGTAACACAAGGATGCCTATTGAATCAATGGGAAACGACAAGAACCCGGATGGTGGAAGCAGTAGCATTGTCTGAGTCAGTAATTAGTCAGCCCCCCTGTGGTGCTGTGCTAAAGAAGAAACTGAGCTCCCAAACCCTTATGGTCATTAAAGATCCCAGACACTTTTTTCAGGAACAGGAGGTGTTAACCCTAGTGTCCTGGCCAGAATCTCCAATCACATTCTGCCTCCCTAAATTCCCCCTGCAGTTTCAATTGGCTACTGGGGTTTTTACTTCCTCTCCTAAACCGTTGTGCCATTGTACTGTGAGCTGTTAAACAGCTGCCACTTTCCACCCCAGAAGCAGCTGCACTTCACTGTTAGGTGAAGTCATTCTTGTAAGGCTTTCCTTTACAGAGCTCTGAGAGCCTGCTGGAGGACAGATGCTAGAGGTATGTCATGTATTTTCCCACACACACACACAGCTGCCAGCTGTTTTATAGCCCGGGAACTGCACTACAAGCAGAATGTAACATATGTAGTATATTAAGATTTTTTTTAATGGATACAGCTACAAGCACATAGCATCAGCTAAGGAAACAGGTCTCTAAAGAGGCCGGGAAGGCGGGTGAATCATGTCTTCTTCAGCACTGGGCAGGTGGCAACGGCTTGACATTTCTCTAACAACAGCGAGTGTGTGTGCAGATTGAAGATGCCCAGTTGTTTTCCTAGGGAGG